AGATATATATTGGAGATAAAAAATATAAGCATGAGATAATAGATTTTTACTTTATGAGATAAAAATAAAATAAGTTTAGTAGTGGAAAAAAGATAATTATTTCTTTAAAGGTACGCTTTATTTTAACATTAAAAATAAATCATAATTACTAAAATTCAAAATTTTAACAGATATATATATATATATATATTAATTTTTTTGAGAAAATAATTATTTACTTTTTACCATCAGTTTATTCAAACGCGTCACCAGTTACTTGTTAAATAAAACTCAATAATATTTTAAACATCTAAACTCAGACAACTTCACTTGCTTTCTAGCGAAAATAGATGAGAAACCACGGGTAGCTCCATTCACCCTGTTGAATCGTGCAGGAGCCAATGCACCAGAAATATAATCAATGTCCTCAAGGTTTTCGCTTAATCAATCTCGTTTGTGATAAGATTTTCCTCTGTCTTTTATATTTTCACGAGAACTAATATGAACTATTGGATACAAAATCACAGGTGACACCGCTAGGGTTTTGGTGGAATTCTTAGAGGTGGCCGTTACTTCAATTGTTTTTCTCAAGGGAGTTTATCCTGCTGGTAATTATAGATGTTTTCTCTATGTCCGTTTTGTCAATTCATCCTCATTTATTGCACAGATAAATTTAAGCAGAGTAGAACAGGAAATTATTTTTCCAGTGTGAGGTTTTGCGTGATCTTTGCGCTCGATAATTCCGTCCAAGACTAGCTCATTGTGAGTTTTTTAGCTTCATTTTACAGAGAATGAGTGTTAGACTAGTACGTTGATAATGAAATTGGGCTTTTGAATTTCCTCTTATTTTCTTTATTTTTTCTTGCGACCTGGCAGGCTTTAGATTTGCTCCTTTCAATCAGTGAAAGGTGCAGTCTAAGGTGTTTATTAAATATAATCTCAGAATACCTCAGAAAATTTTGCCAGTGAAACTATTTTGTTTTCATATTTCAGTGTGGTGATTATTGATGATTATTATTGGGT